ATTCTTGCTAAACATTTACCTCATGAAATACTTTATCATTTTGGAAGTGATGGCGCTAGTGTTAATTTAGGTTAATAAATGTGTCTTTTTATTTTATCAAAATAAGATTTACGAAGTTTAATTCTGAAACCCCTCACTATTCGAGTTTTCTTGGACTCTATAATTTTTCTTATGCCTAAATCTGATTATAAATAAAAAATGTTATATATTGTATTATATATAAACTATATAGTTCTTTTAATACAGTAATAGAAAATATATACTGTATATTTATTATATAAAATTAATTAGAAGATTTAAAAAAAATATATTTAGTGAAAAATTAAACTTCACCAAAATTGATAAGCATTTTTATAATTAAATTTATTATAAGGAGGACCATTTAAGAAAATCATTAAAATATCATTCAGAGTATCTGAATTCATTCTATTGCGAAGCTTAGTTTTGATAAGATTTTGCTTTAAAAAGACACGTTCAACATAAGTATTAGAAAGAGGTAAGCACCAAAACAATTGAAATAATAATATAAATATTAGGATAAATTAAAGTAAAATCTTGATTATCTCGTAAAATATTGTACCATGCATCAGTAATATGTAAATTATGATAATTAGAGAGAATTGATCAGATAATTTACCATTCTTGTGAAAGATTGTCTGCATCAATAATTTTTTGATAATCATGTTCTAATTTTTTATAAATAATAATAAATAATAATAATAAATAAATATATGTTTATTTAAAATTATAAATTTATTTAAAAAATTTATTACCTGAGTTTTTTTAAAAGTTCTATAAAAATTTCCAATTTCAGTAATTTCATAATTTCTATAAGTTAAAATTAAACAATAATCAGTAGGTAATTGTTTGGATCAAAAATTTTAAATAAAGATATAAGTTTATGATCTGGAAAGCGAAGCTTAATATTTTTAACTATATTTATAGCAAATTCTCATACAAATAAAGGAAAATCATGAGGTAAAATATTTTGCTGATTCATAAACCGTAATAGTATAGTTCCAAAAGTAGGTTGTATATTTGCTTTACCAATAAAATCAGCTGTAATAAATTCAATAACTGTATTTACTTGTATTGTAACTTCTGAGACTGAAACATAATCAGCTTAAAAAACTAAAGATAGATGACGAAGTTGTGAAAGAATATTAGCTAAAAAATATGTTGCAATTAAAAAGTCTTGATCAATACTATTATAAAGTTGTTGTGCAGTTTTTTGGCCTTTAGTTGCATCTTCTAATAGAGCACTAATTACTGAATTAATAATTTGATAAAGATTATTAACAACATTGCTTAATGAAAGCTATTGGGTTTTAATAACTTGTAAAATATCTAAATTAGGCTCATTTAAACTTTGTTGAATCATTCATAAAGTTTGGAATATGATCGACTAAAATAGCTATAAAGTTGACGAATAATTTTATCATAAGTTTCAAAGTATGGAGTTAGCTCTGCAGCATCTTTAGAAGCAAGTACTAAGCGATAACTTATACAATGATGTTTAGTAAGAAATGGAAAATGAGTTTTTAATTGTGTTGCTATTCCATTTACATTCCTAAATAATTTTATGTAATTATAATATTATAATAAATATAAATAATAAAATAAATAATTAAAATAAATATTAACCTAAATTAACACTAGCGCCATCACTTCCAAAATGATAAAGTATTTCATGAGGTAAATGTTTAGCAAGAAT